GATGATAAATCTTATACTGGAAGTGCATTCTCTCTCATTGTTTTAATTGAAAGTACTAATGAATTGCAATCTGATGGATGATGCCTTTAGAATTTAAAAGAGTATTTGTTTTCATTTTCTTAAAGTATAGAACTGGGTCTTTTTCTCCTAGACTTCTTTACAAACGGTGAAGTCCCTTCTCTGCAGGAGTCCCTGCATCTTCTTTTGCCTTTGTGCATCTGTTATTTACCCCTCTGAATTGAATTTGAAAAATCATTTAAAGTGAAAGCCAAATCATTGACGTTTTTGTTCTGCGCTGGGGTGGGGGGAGGGCTGATGCTTTGTATGAGTTAAAAGAACAGATTACCCTCTCCTTTATTTTTATTTGTAGTTAAGACATATTTGAACATATTTATGGAAGATAGTACAATAATTCAATCGTTGTATTCAATGTATAATGATCCAATCAGGGTAATTAGCATATCGATCTGCTCAAATATTTATTATTTCTATGTGTTGGAAAACATCTGTCTCTTCTAGTTATTTTTAAGTATGTCAAAATTGTTGTAGACAATAGTGACCCTACTGTGCTATAGAACACTGGAAGTGATTCCTCCTATTTGTCCTCATTTCTTGCCTTTCTCCTCCCTGCATGATACTGAAGAAAGAGAGGGAAAACATAACTGTCCAGGGCTATGAAATGGTTTGCAAGGACTTCCTGTGAGCTTCCTCTTTGGTTTTTCTTAGTCCCTGTGGAAAACAGTTTCTCCCTCTCTGCCTATCTGTCTCTCTCTCACTCTGTGTGTAACCAGTGTAGGGAAAAAAGAAACTGGCTTAAGAAGACTGTCACTTATAAAATAAAATCCAACATTTAGCTATTAGAAATGCCTGAGGAACAGATAATGTTCAAGCATATATTGTTTAATGAATGGGTCTTAACTTTGAGCTAACTGCTCTAATAAATTTGCACACAATTAACAAGGACCCTAGTCACACTCCCAGTTGTCTGTCTTAAGCTTTCCTTTTTATTAAAACTTAAAGATTAAAGCCATTAGTTTCCATCCATCAAAGATAATAGCCATGAATTTCACAAATACAGCACCAGTGTCCAACACAAATATAATGTGAACCATAAATGCAAACCACATATGTAATTTTAAAACGTTCTAGTAACCACATTTAAAAAGTAAAAAGAGTGAAATTAATGTGAATAATGTATTTAACTAGGCTTAGTATATCCAAAACATTATCATTTCAATACAATTATAATATAAAAATATTAATGAGATTTTAACCTATTTTGTACTCTGCCTTTAAAATCCAGTGTGCATTTTATATTTATTGCACTAGTCAAGTATACAAGAGCCACATGTGGGTTGGCTACCATATAGGACAGTGCAGAGCTAGCATCCCACGGATAAGGTCTCTCTACTGCTTATACCAATTTTGTTGTTATGAAATAAAATGAAAAGAGAATACTGTCTGCTATAGGAGTACTATAATATTTCCCCAATTGCAGCATAGCAGTACCAAGAACTGTATGGTGGAAAAACAGATTTTGTGACTAAGTAAGTTAGGGATGTTTTATTCTTTTATCCTCTTTTGGAGATTCCATGGCACATTAACAATACAGACTCTTAAGCAAACTCCTGGGTAAAGAATCCTGTTTGAAGTTGAGTTCTGTGTCCATAAGTATTGTAGAAACTGCCACGAGTGTCTCTACGGAAAAAAAAAAAAACAAAACAAAACAACAACAAAAAAAAACAACAACTTGGTGTTTTCATCTCCTTCTTCACGCTCTTTGGAGCATCTCTACTCCCCCCCATTCCCCCCCCCAATCACCTGAGAACCAAGATAACTTTTTTATTCTAGAACAACCACTTCCTAAACTGAAACCATCATATGGCTTTAAGTTCTTCCACATGGACATAGATCTTCAGAAAGTACCTAAATATACACATTCTTCTTAACTTTCAGACATGATGAATACTTTAAAAAGATGAGGGAAGAAACATCAGAATGTATACATGTATAAACACAGAATCTATCCATGTCGAGTTCTGCAGATGCTTTCTTTTTATGTGTATGGTGTTCATTTTGACGCTTCACTGTGTACTCTTCTTGTATTGTGTATGAAGTAACTGACATAGCAGTCAATTTAAAGAAGATTTAGACTATACTTGTCTACTGTCACTCTTTAGCAAATGACCTTTTTGCAACATGATTTTACTGGGGCCTGTGATGCTGTCCCCATAAGTTCACTTTTAAGATCTGTGTTTAAGTGGCAATTACCACTAAATTAATTCTGCCACTGAATTTGGTTCAAGTGGCTGTAGTAACCTCATATGTGGATGTATTCAAATAAGTAGATTGATTTAAATGATCGATTTTGTCTCTCTTTTTTTAGGACTTTAGTTTTTCAGTATTAGAGATGTCTTCTGAAGACTGTAGTAGCAGTAAAGAATTCTTTTGTTCTTGGAAATGCAGTAGAACATGTGTTTAACATAGACTCTCCAGGAGCAGGAGTGGGGTATTCTAAGTGTAAAAGTTTGATTTTAGAATCTGATAAGGAAGGGCAATCCATTCTCTAAAAAGGTAACAGCTTCTCCAACTTTGAACATCCAGAGGAGTTCTGCTTGGAAGGGAAGTCTGAATTTTAATCTCTTGGATTTAATGGCGGTAAATTAACAAAAATTTAAAAAATAGATTTTGTAGAATTCAATTACTAGAGAAAACACTTTGTAAAGCCATATACAACTGAGGAATAGTCAAACATTATATATTATCTTGAGAATGTGCATTTCCCAAATGAATAGAATTTACTTTACAAAAAAAGGTTTTTTTTTCACAATTCACAATACTTATAGAAATACGATTGTATCATTGGAAAAAAAGAACTCATTTTCCTAATGATACATTTCACAAGTAGCAAATTAGTGCAATTCCATGATTATGGGGGGGGGTGCAAAGGAATAAAATGCCAATATAGTATAACTGTTTATTCCTAACTAGGAATAAATAATTACCATTATTTAAAGTACTACTGAATTTTGAAGAACTGCTCAGTGAATGAGTGTTATTAGTAAAATTGTATTCTTTACAATATATTTGTCTCAGCACAGATGCAGAGTTAAAAACATAAAATTATAAAAATATACCAAATAATAGAAATTGGCCCTTATTACTTTAAAATCCTATTAATCTGTTGTATATAACAAAAAGTTTGAAAGACTTGCACACAAAATAAAAGGCTTTAAAAACAATGCCTTTTTGTCAAAACAAGTCAGCAAGCTGACCTCTTGTTAATTATTTTATTTCCTTAGGGGAACTTTAAATTTCTTTCAAAGACACATTAGTAACAATTAGTTCTAAATTTAGAGCAGAACATTCTGCCAGAAATTTTACTGTATCACAAAATGTCATACTACCACACTTTCTAATAAAACCAAACTCTCAAGTATCCTGATATGCTACATATTATACCAAAACATCACTTTCTATAAATCTATTATTCTGTGTACATAATATTTTTAAGAAGTAATGACTATTTTGGTCCTAGTAAGAAAATATAGTGCAAAATATGACATTAAATTGATCTTTAGTGATTTTAGTGAAAATCCACTTAGGCGTTTGTCAAGGACACTAGCAATTACAAGCTGTAACGTACATGTTATTCTCAAAGATAAAATGGCAAATGACAACAGAGAAAGACATGGTCACTGGGGTAAACTAGTTGGTGTACAGACCAACAAAGAAAGATCGACTTAAAAATGCTCAGCGGATTTTAGCTTTTGTTCCTGGTTGTTCCTGGAGTGGGAAGTACTACAGTTGATATTGCTTTTCTTCGTGTAAGGAGTTTGCTCAAAGCCACTGCATGGTATGATGAAATATCTTCAGATGGAAGATTGAGTCAGAAGATTAGAGATGCACCTGTTTATAAAACTGTTACTATGTTCTAAACACTGTGATCTTTCCAATATGTTTTCTGTATTAGTTTTGTACTTGTAGAAAATAATTTGCCATAAACTGGTCTTTATAGTGTTTAAAGTGATGTTATTTATTGGCTTACTGCCTCCCTGCACCATAACACAGTCCACTTAATAATGTAAAACCTGTGATAATCCTTGGCCTTAAAATCTAATGCTAAATAGTTACTGTGTTCCAATTAATAATATAAGCTACTAATTAATTTTCCTTTGAAAGCTAAATAAAACATTACACAAATACTCTGGAGTGCCGCTGCTGATTTTGTGTTGGTGACAGTGTGTGTATCTTGATCCAGGGCTTGGTGGCCTGCTGGGTTCTATAAATAGACATTAGTAATCCTTTTGGAAAAAGGGCCTGGTACCTCTCAGCTTTTCGCTGAATCCTCCCCTCAACCCTTATAAATAGATTTTCCCTTATCACATAACAACTAAGATAAAAGCTCATCATGTTCTCTCCCTCCACTTTCTTTGTCTTGATCCCATCTAAATTTTCACATTCTGAGTTCACATTATTTTCCTAAATAGAAAAATGCCTGAGACGCCTGAAGATTGAAATCACCCAATTGCTGCAGGGAAAGAGATACTTATAATTATTAAAATCTAATTCCTGTAGGGATAGGTTAAAACCTGGGTTTTAGAGAGATTTAGCGGCCTGATGAAGGTCTGAGGGACAGGGGTGGGCTGAGTCCACCCTGATGTCTAGAAATCGGCTTCAATTTCAGTCGGTGAAAAGGAATTGTGTTAGTTTTAGGATTGGCACAACAGCAAGCAGAGGTATGCTTGGCCAAGAAAACTGCTTCCTTATTAGGCCCTGGTCTTTGACCTGAGTTAGTCAGTTACAGAGGAATACATTTTGTAGGCGGGTTCTGGGAGGAGAGGCTTTGGCTCCTAGATTCTCTGATGCTCTTTCAGCACTAGCAATGCTTCAGACCACTATATTTGGAAGACGAAGGGGCCTGCTCGCAGGCAAAGTGAAAAGTTCAACTATTCCCTGTCACAGTGGTGGGTCATGGCAATACATTTGTACTTTGAAAAGGATCTCTGTGGTCTGATTATTTTAAATGATGCCAAACTCAAGTCTTTTGAAGAATCAGGCGTTTCCTCGGCCCTGAAAATAAAAGACGGGGCTGGAAAGGCGGCCAAATCCTAATTCTGGGCACAGTTGGTTGCAGTTTTTGAAAGGGATGTGACCAGTTTCCACAGACAGAACCGACCAAGGGACTCTAGGACCCAGAGGCTGCACGCGCGGCGAGCAGGGCCGGCTGTCTCCTCTCGGACTCCCGGCGTGGCGCGGAGCGCCTGTCTCAGGGCGCGGGTTCGCGGCCCGCCGGGGGACCGTCACTACAGAGACGCAGTGGGCATTCTGGCGCGCCGGCGGCGCACGGCGCGCGTGGGCGTGTCCCATCGGGGCCGCGCCGCCCGCCCCACCCCAGCCGGGTTGGTTACCCCCCAGGCCCAGTTCCAACGCCCGGGCCGGTCGGCCGGGCCCGCGTGCCCTCGGCGGGCTGCGCACAGCGCGGGAGTTGGTCGGGGCAGGGCATGTCAGGAACCCCTAGGGTAACCGCCACTGCCGCCGCCGCCGCTGCTGCCGCCGCCGCCGCCACAGCCACGGCCACAGCGTCCGTCCCCGGTCCGCCCCGCTGAAGCGCGGAGATGAAATTCCCGGCCTCGGTGCTGGCGTCCGTGTTTCTGTTTGTAGCCGAGACGACGGCGGCGCTCTACCTGAGCAGCACCTACAGGTCAGGCGGGGACCGCATGTGGCAGGCGCTGACGCTGTTTTTCTCGCTGATGCCATGCGCGCTAGTGCAGCTCACCCTCCTCTTCGTGCACCGCGACCTGAGCCGCGATCGCCCGCTCGTGCTGCTACTGCACCTGCTTCAACTCGGGCCCCTGTTCAGGTGCGTGCGGAAGCCGGGAGCCAGCCTAGGCCGCAGCCCCCGGCCGGCTCCCCCCACCAGCCCGAGCGAGGGGGGCGGCCTTCCGGTAGGGACAGGTGGCTCGGCCCGAAGCCGACCCCCCCTCCCCTCCAGCCTCGCGATTCCAGTCACCAGAATGTGGCAGGATCCTAGTATAATGACACTAAAGCTGCCCCCCCAACAGCATTCCCGTCAGGCACCATCATATGAACTTGTCAACATTCACCTGAATTTGACCGACAAAAATGGCAGCTTCGTGGGGTTCCTTCTCCGCGGTCCAGGGGGCGCTGGCAAAATTGGCTTGTATGGTCACCGATCCTTGGAAGCGGGTTCTAAGCCGCTTTTAAAGCAGGTGGTTTCGTTTGATTTATCAGACACGTGGAGCTTGCTGTGTGCCAGGCACTGTTCTAAGTGCTTCGCAAATACTAGTGTATTTAATTGGCATACAGGAGTCTAGAAATCCACGTACCCGTCTTTTGTCTCGCTGGTATGATGATTATTATGGAGTGTGGAAACATATGGGGTCATAGAAATGTCTTCCAGCCCTGCCTAAGTTGTAAACATAGTCGTGAAAGCTAGTACACAATGGGCCATGAAGATAACAACTGGCTATGTGTTAAAAAGAACTGTCAGTGACATTTCTGGAAATAGTTTTTATGACCACAAGGCAAGTAGAAATAAATATATGGGAATGAAACAGACTTTGCCTTTATCTAAGGCCTTTGAAGGGAGTTTAAAATGTGTTGTCTTCCTATCTTTCATCTCTAGGATAAGCAAAATAAACGGTTTTCTATCTGGATTCGAAACAAATTTGTAATCCTGAATTCGAAATAGAGGTGACAGAGGAATTTGAAGAGAGAAAGACCAGAGACACATCTCAGGGACTACAAAGTTCAGCTAACCAAGAACATTTTCTACCAGGAAATCAAATTGTCTCTTCTCCAGTCACACAAGTACCACACACCCACACCCACACACAACATCACATACACACAGTTGAGTAGCAGGATAGAGTTTACAAAGCCCTATTAGAAAACGTTTGCAGTTCCCATTAAAAACAGACATTCCAGCTGACACTGGTTTACACATAGTCATGGCAAACTTGGTGAACAGGTTTCCCAGCCTCCTGAAGCCCTGGAATCCTAGAAACAAAGAGAAAAGTGTATGCTGGCAGAAGTGACAAGTTGCTACTGTTGTCCTGACAGCTGAGCAAGAATCAAAGGAGGAAAAAGGGAGGGAGGAGGGAGGTGAGGGAAAGTTTACAAAGTCCTGTCACCTGGAGCTGTTTAGTGAAGAGAAAGTCCTTCTAGCCAAGCAAGCCCTGTGGTCCCAATAGTGTTCCTGCTGAGTTAAAAAAAAAAAAATGTGATCTGACTTTGGGCAAGGCACTCATCATTTCTTAACTTCAACAGTGAAGAGAAACTCAGTTCAATGGCTTGACGTGGGAGAACTGTCATTTCTCAAAAGCTTCTTCTGTTAAGTGGTTCAGTATGTTCCCTGTTTGTTGACTCATCACTATGAGGTAGCTGTAATTGCCCCCACGATTTTTATTTATTTATTTAGGTGATGAGGATGGGACCCAGGGCCTTGTGCATGCTAAGCCAGCACTCTACCACTGAGCTACACCCCCAGCCTTTGTCCTCACTTACTTACTTACTTACTTTATTTATTTATTTATTTATTTATTTTCTGTACAAAAACAACCTTTATTGACAATTTGGGTTCTGGGGTGAGGGAGGCCCCTTTCCCCACTGTGTCCCCACTTTATAGATGAGGAAAATGACAGACCAGACCATGTTACCAAGGCTTCTTAAAAAATGGAATCAAGTTATTTATGTTTACTATGCTCTATGAAAGAAAGCAGAGTGTATAGTACATTTTATTAGTAGTTCTGCCTTAAGAAAAAGTTTTAAATTTTAAAACTAAAACAACCTAAATAGCCATCTAAGTAAATGAGAATACCTGTCATTGCCGTCATTTTAAATTCTAAACACCAAGAGTAACCCAAAACAAAGCTCATGACATAACATTAAGTATAAAAACAAGATGACAAGTATAAACCTTAGCTGAAGGAAATACCCTAAGCTGTTAAGAGCAGTAATTTCTAAAAGGTGAGGTGTGATTTTAGTATTTAGAAAAACAGTAAAGTATATAATTTTCTCCTTTATTATATACTTTTCTATATATTTCAGTTTTTACAATAAACATAATTTTATTAAGGAAAGGAAAAGTTTGGTGCTTTGAAAGATCACTACATAGAAAGCTTCAACACTGTAAAAAACCAAGAAAACAAAAAAACTTATTTCCAGAAAATTCTGAATGGAACAAAATAAGAGGTAAAAACAAAACAACAGGCAACCTTCTTCCACTGCCAAGGAGTCTCTCATTCTAATGCAGCTGATTCATTTCAAGGAGATACTGGACCCATGATCTGAGAGCTGAGATACACAAAATATGGTTCCAAGTCTCTTAGCTTCCAGATGAAAACAAAAGCAATTTATTGTCATATATTATCATGACTTAGTATCTGCTGGAATTTTTTCTTGCTGATTAGTTCTATCGAAACTCTAATACATCAGCTCACGTAAAGATTAAAACTATTTCCCCCAAACAAAAGAGAGGCATGGTGTTTCTCCCTCTCCCCACTTATTGTTGGATTTATTCATCCTTCTAAGTTGTTTTGGGACAGTTCAGCTCTATTTAACTTCTGGTAGGTACTAGTCAAACTCATTCTTCTTAGATGCTGGTTTTGAGTTCACAAAGGATGATAGCCCAGTTAAACTGCAATAGAGGAGTATTGCTGGGGTGTAGCTTAGTGGTACTATGCTTGCCTAGGTAGCATGCAGGAAGCCTGGGTTCCATGCCAGCACCTCATCAAAAAAAAAAAATCATCCCCCATAATACATTATACTAATGATTATGGACTAAATACCATTAACTCCACTCTTTCCCTCCTTTCCTTTAGGAAGGCATTGAGAGAGCAGCTTATTTATATCTTGCATTTTAGTCTTATATGTAAATCTGTAGCTGCAGTTTATATGGTTGTTTCTACATTAAGGATGGATCTGAATATGAACTTTGGATAATACCCTGAATTTATTTTTCTTCTCAATTTTCAGGAAAATCTTACCGTGAATTATAATAGATACTTTGGAAAAACAGGGAGGGGGAAACATCTCTTACCAGAACCAACCAACCAACCATTCAGTAGAATGAGCACCATTCTATTGATTTTTTTTTTTAAATTGAACCCAGGGCCTTGTACATGCAAGGCAAGCACTCTACCAACTGAGCTATATCCCCAGCCCTTGATCATTCTTTTACAGTTAACTTTCATAAATTGATTGAGAGGTGTAAATGTAAATGAGTTACAAGATCAAAAAATTCCCCCCATTTTTATTTACTGGCATAATGAGGAAAAAATGGTACATTACAAATCTGCGTTTGTATTATAAAGGCTAAAAAATTCCAAAAATCTTTAGAGAACATTGCAAAATGATTCACCATACTTTCCCTCTATAGTAAACTTTTGAGAGAATTTAACAGTCTACATTTAAAGAATATTTATTTCATTGGCAAAGTGCTTTTTATGGTGTTTTATTCCATCCACTATAAAACCCTGTGAGCTAACTGTCATTATCTTATTTTTACAGTCCAGGAATTGAGGCTCAAAGAGATTAAGGAAGTGGTTCTTCAAAGGTCTTACAGCGTTTTCTACTTAACCAGTTTGGTTCTTGTGTAGCCTCTCAGAGCATGCATGTCATGTGAAGATAACATGGCTTATAGGAAATCATAGTATTTCTTTGGAAAATGTATTTTTATTAGGGTCCCTGGTTCCACAAGTTATTTGTTCTGATATCAACATGAATGGTTTCAGCTAAGAAATAAACTCCTGGTTTTATGCTTTAAACAATGGGATATATGATGCTTGCTAATGGGATAAAGTTAAAAAAATGGACCCAACTACTGATTATCTATCTGTCTACATCAGTGGTTGGTAAACTGTGTCCCATTGGCCAGATTCCCTCAACTACCTGTTTTTATAAGTAAGGTTGTATTGGTTTTATATCATGGTCATTCATTTATAGATTGCCTATATCTGTTTTAGCTCTTCAGAGGCAAGAGCTGAGCAGTTGTAACAGGGACCATGGCCTATAAAGCCTAAAATATTTATTCTCTGTAAATACTTTACAGAAAAATTTCCTGACCCCTGATGTACATGATACTGGAAAACTACCTTGAATGATTAAAAAAAGTTTTTTTTTTTTTTGTGTGTGTGGGTGTGCATGCATGTGCTGGGTATAAAACCCAGGGCCTTGAACATGCTAACAGGCATTCTACCTGAGCAGCAGTCATACATTGAATAATTTTTGTTGAAAGTATCTAATTTGGGGCTTTATTTAGATACTTCTTAAGCAAAACAGACTACCAAAACATATTTGGAGTAATTAGATAAGTCTTGTGGAATTCCAAGAATACAGCAGTAGTTCATTTCTGCTTAGTTTTCTTACCCAGTAGTGGCAAAAGATCTTGGGGCCATTAACATATTTATTAAACACCTAGATTGTATAAAAGTGTGCTAAGACAATGTATTACCTGGGAAAAGCAGTGGATTGTGATAAAGTCTCTCTTGGCTTTAGAGTCACTTCATTATTTCATTCTGGTACCTTCTATTTCCATTGATTGATGAATGAAGTTTTATTTTGTCCACAACTCTATAAATGCTTCCCATTTCACACAGCCCCCTCCTCAGCCTTAAGAGAATTCCATTCTCCTCCTAACTGAATCCTCAATTCATTAATTTAGCTCTCAGCATGTATTGGTATTTTGATTGCTTATTGTTTTGATTTTTAAAAACTCTATAAACTTGGGCGGGGATACAGCTCACAGCTCAGTTGGTAGAGTGCTTCCCTGACATGCACAAAGCCCCAGCACCACCAAAAAAAAAAAAAAAAAAAAAAACCCAAACTCTAAACTTAATTTTGTTATGTAAGTAAAGCATATTTGTTGTTGAAATGACAAAAAAGCAGAAAACAGATATGTACAGTAAAGAAAACAAAACTTCTAAAGAGAATAATTCTTAATGTTTTTGTTGTAAGTTCTTACTAATATTTTTATGGTGAATGCTTGTAAACTCTCAAGGTAAACAAGCCCTGATTTTCAGTGTTTTCAGATTTCCACAATGTGTTTATCCCCATCAAATGTGATTAAGCTACTAGTTGTTTAACAACTGGCTTACAAAATTCCTATTTAACAGTAAGTGCTCTTGAGTCAGTATGAAGCAGCTCAAACATGCCATTGTGTGTTTGTGTGTGTAATTTGTATGTATTTATATATGTGTATAATTTTCTTTTTTAAAAATGTAATTTTCTCTATATATTCTGTTGCCATTTGTTTCTTTTATTTACTAAGTATTTTAATTTTTACTTCTTTATTTACTTATTTTTGATGCTGGGGATGAAACCCAGGCCTTGAGCATCCTAGGGTGTTCAACTACTGAGCTATATCCCCAGCCCAGCATTTTTTTTTAATGTCAATAGATGCATTTCTAAACCACCAGTTTTAAGCACTACATAATATTGCATTGAATAGATATATTGTGATTTATTTAATTACTCTTTCATTTTGAAGACCTTGAGAGTATTCATGCAATTTTGCTATTACAAATAATGCTGATTCAAATTCTTGTAGTAGACTTTCTAAGTGAGAAAATATATAAGAAAATATTCTATGAGCTAAAACTACTGTATAAATGTTAGTAGTTTCAATTACTTATCCTTATTCAATATCCCATTGCTCCATTTAGATAATGAGCACCTCTCAATGAGGCAGGGGTACATCCAACTATTTTTTGCATTCCCTGTAGCACTGAGTAAAGTGCATCTTCACTCTTCATATATTTGAGGGGGAAAAATGCCTATTGGTTTATTCTATCTTCCAATCTATATTGTTGTCAATGGTCTGGCAGTGTGTAGTGGCTAAAGTGGCTAGGCCTCATTCAGTCCCCAGTCACATATTTGTGTTTGGGACCAGCTGGGCTCAAACTCATGACCTGAACTTGGTTATAATTATTTTCAGCTGAACAAACTGGCACATGCTATTTTGTATGTTTTCATGTAATATATTGAAGTAACCTTGATCCCACTGCACAAAATGTACTAGATAAACCTCCCCCCACCACAGTACTGCACTCCTTCTTTCTCCCAGAAACAAGGAGCAAAGGTAATAATCACAAAATATGTTCACTTTGTACTCACCAGAAAAGCTCCTGCATTTCCTACCTTGCATCAATGACTTTATTTTATTATTTCAAATTATAAATGTATTCTCATTGCCATAGTTGCCTCAGGGTGAGAGTATAAAGTTAACAACATTCAATAAAGTAGATGAAGCTATAAAATCTTCTAGCAGCATTATAAGGTTGTTATGAAAGTACATGTTTCAAGGGGAAAAAAAAGCCTTCAACAATTTTTAAACCTAAGGCCATGAATGTTTTTCCTATTCCTAGGGATAACCCATTTTCCCTGCCTTTTATTATGGAAAATTTCAAACATATAGAAGAAAACTTGATTTCTCCTGTGAACACCCAAGTACCCACCACCTAGACTTCACGATTAACATTTTGTTTCACACTTTTAGCCATCCCTGTCTGTCTCTCAATGTGAGTGTGTGTGTGTGTGTGTGTGTGTGTGTGTGTGTACTTAAATCACAGGCATTAGTACTCTTCCCCTTTTCAGCAGCCATATCATTACCTAAAGAGGAAATCAAGTTTAAAAGCCAGATATTCTCATTCTGGAAATGTTATTGGTTAAGACTTTGTCCCTAGAGCAGACTTGGAATTCTATAAGACATATCTGGCAAGCCACTGGGCATGATTGGCTTTAGCCCTGCCATGCAAGGGCTTATGAGGACAATGAGATAGGTAACATATTGTGGTCTTCCAGTGAAATGCTAGATGGCAAGCTTTCCTGAGCTGGGCAATTGCCCAACTATACTTTCTGCTTTAACTAGAACGGTTTGGGGAATCTATTATAGGGAGTGTGTGTGTGTGTGTGTGTGTGTGTGTTATTGCCATCTTTCACAGCAAAGTAGCTATCTTTTCTGCTTTATAATTGAGAGAAAAGGCTCAGAGGATAAGTTATTTGCCCAGGGCTGCACAGCTGATGTGTCAATAGGGAAAATTGAATATTTTTTTGTGACTTGAGCCTGATCCACTTGCCATTCTCTAGTAAGTTTCCTTTCCTCTGTGGTCTTTGGTGTCACCCCTCAATTTGTTTTTTTTTTAATTACTTTAATTTTTATTTTTTTAAAGAGAGAGTGGGGGAGAGAGAGAGAGAGAGAGAGAGAGAGAGAGAGGAAGGAGAGAGAGAGAGAATTTTTTAATATTTATTTTTTAGTTCTCGGCAGACACACATCTTTGTTTGTATGTGGTACTGAGGATCGAACCCGGGCCGCACGCATGCCAGGCGAGCACGCTACCGTTTGAGCCACATCCTCAGCCCTCACCCCTCAATTTGGTTCTTACTCAATTCCCATTGGCCTGCAGGAGGGCCTGAAGAGGACCAAGTACTTAGAACTGGTCCTTGGAGGGGATAACTTAGAGGGATGATTATAGTCCAAAATAGCCAAGTCAAGGCTTTGAGAACCAGAACAATTGGAAGCAGGATGACTGAGAAAGGAGAATCCTGCCCATCTGTAATTATTATGACTTGCTGATTTGTTTTCAGGTGTTTTGAAGTCTTCTGCATCTACTGTCAGTCAGGCCACAGTGAAGAACCTTATGTCAGCATCACCAAGAAGCGGCAGATGCCAAAAAATGGCTTCTCAGAGGAGATTGAGAAGGAGGTGGGCCAGGCAGAAGGCAAGCTATTTACCCACCGCTCTGCATTTAGCCGGGCTTCAGTGATCCAGGCTTTTCTGGGCTCCGCCCCCCAACTGACCCTGCAGCTGTATATAAGCGTCTTGGAGCAGACCATCACTGTTGGAAGAGGTATGTATATTTTTTTATTTCTCTTTGCACTTGGGGCTCCAAATGGAAGACAAAAACATGCTGTTTATTTTGTTTCAAGTGAAAGTCATTCGTACATGCTTTTAATCCTGAGTCTGTGTTCTACTTACTAAGCTCAAAGTTTAGTGAATTAAAATGATAACATTGAATTTGCTTAGGAATCTGCATTTTGGACAAGGTTCAAAGGGGAAGAAAGCTTATCTATGCTCCAACTGTGGATCAACTGAGTGACTCAAAGATGGGGGACTAGAATCCATTGAAGCCCCATTCATTCACATGTCTTATTGCTCCCATGTTGTTGTTTTTTTTTTGTTGTTGTTAGTTTGTTTTTGTTTTTGTTTTGTACTGAGGATTTAACTCAGGAGTGCTCTAGTATTAAGCTATATCCCAAGCCCTTTTATTTATTATTATGAGACTGAGTCTTACTAAGTTGCTGAGGCTGACCTTGAACTTGTGATCCTCCTGCCTCAGTCTCTTGGGTTGCTGGGATTACAGGCTTGTGCCACTGTGCCCAGCTTCATATGTCTTAATGCTGGCTGTTGTTGGGGATCTTGGGTCACCTCCATTTGATCTCACTATGTAGTTGAAGTTGGGCTTCCTCACAGCATGGTGGCTGCTTCCAGGGATAGTTTCTTCATAGTGAGAAAAGGCTTGGGCCAGATAGAAGCCATGTGGCCTTCTGTGATCCAGCCTTGGGAGACACGGACTATCACTTGTGCAGCCTTCTCTGTTGAAGCAGTCACAGAGTCAGGTGACTTTCCTTTTAAGGAAAGGGGAGGGAAGTAAACTCTTGTTAGGGAATTGATCATGAGAGACCAAAAATACCACTGTGACCATTTTTAGAAATGACAGTTTGCCTTTAGAAAAGACAGAGGATGGTCCTCTTGGAATTTCATCTCTGTCTTTCAATGATAGCTCTAAATTAGCTGAGATGGTTGATTGTGATATATTTTTTAAAAATTCTTGGGCTGGGGATGTGGCTCAAGCGGTAGCGCGCTTGCCTGGTATGCGTGCGGCCCGGGTTGGATCCTCAGCACCACATACCAACAAAGATGTTGTGTCCGCCGATAACTAAAAAATAAATATTAAAAAATTCTCTCTCTCTCTCTCTCTCTCTCCCTCTCTCTCCTCTCTCACTCTATCTAAAAAAAAAATTCTGATTTCAGCATTTTCTTAAATGTATATTTTTTCAACTAAAAGTTTTGTGGTGCATGGTGGAATCAAGGCCACTATCCTGTCTTCTTGAAGTTCTGATAGGTATTTTAGGAGCTTTTGCTTTTAAGTGAACACAGTTTTCTATCTTTGGGCTATTCTCACATCATAAAATTAACGGCAGATTTTTAGCTAATTCAGGTTTCCCACAAACCTCTATTTATATTGGACACAAATGAAAAACCTTCAAATGAGAGGGCAAATAACCCTTCCTATACATTAATATTATATATAAAAGAAAAATGGGTACTACAGACATGCAAATGGTTTCAAAGCTTTTAGTTGAAAAAATATACATTTAAGAAAATGCTGAAATCAGAATTTTTTTTTCTTTTTTTAAAGAGAGAGAGAGAGAGAGCGGGCGAGAGAGAATGTTAATGTATTTTTTTTTTTTTTTAGCTTTCGGCGGACACAACATCTTTGCTTGTATGTGGTGCTGAGGATCAAACCCGGGCCGCACGCATGCCAGGCGAGCGCACTACCGCTTGAGCCACATCCCCAGCCCCTGAAATCAGAATTTTTTTAAAAAAATACTCTTATTTGTTTCACTCCGTTCAGTTTTATCTTCTTTTTGCCTGTATTTTAAATGGGATGGTAAATGTCTTAATTCATGGTGGTGTCATATGATACTTACATGTCAGAGGGATCTTCCTTACCACAGGTTACCTGACTATGACTCTTAAGATATGAGTCAGGGGCTGGGGTTGTGGCTCAGCGGTAGAGCACTCGCCTAGCACATGCAAGGCCCTGGGTTCGATCCTCAGCACCACATAAAAATAAATAAGTGAAATAAAGATATTGTGTCCAGCTACAACTAAAAAATAAATATTTTTTTAAAAAGATATAGGTCAGGATCTTAAGTAGTGGTCTTGAACCACAACCCCTGGTAGACAGTAGGTACTGAATAAGTATAGCAGTATCTTTAATCTCTAAGGACTTATAACTGAAATGGGTCATGACTAAGGTATATTTTCTGAGTACAGTATACCCCTTTCCCAGTTTATTGCTTTTCCAAGTGGGAAGGAACATAGTGAAAAATCAGATGTAGTGATAACCTGATGATTTTTATAAGCAGATCCATTTTTTCTCAAGTTTTTGATAGTGAAGACTGCCTTATGGGCCTAATCAGGGCACTGCCTGTTTTTGTAAATAAAATTTTATATGGAACACAGCTATCCTTTTTCATGTGTATACTGTCTCTGGCTGTTTTGGGGCTACAGTGTCATAGAGATGAATAGTTACAGCAGAAGCATATGGTCCACAAAGCCTAAAATATTTATTGTCTAGCTCCTTACAGAAAATGTTTGCTAACCCTTGTGGTTTTTCAGACAGAATTTCGTTCAGGAAAATAAAATCTATCTTCTAAATATCCCTTGTCAGTATCACAAGAGATATCTGTGAGATATCCCAAGAGGTTGGAAAAAAATATATGTCCTCTGAGAGTTAAATGATAAATCAGTTAGACCTGAAAAGAGGAAGTAGGCATGAGCTTGTTAAATAGACAAATGGCTGCCATCTATGCAACCCAAATCACTACTTTAATGTATCTGAGGAAGGAATCCCTCACCCAGAAGGGGCAAGGCCCTTATAAATGGAATGTGGGCTAGGATGTGTCACAGGCAAATTTTGGAACTGTCTATCATATGTTTGGGAATACATTTGGTACATGGAACAAACACCTGATTATAGGTTAAACAACCCAGTGTTGATTTGGCTCATGTAACAAGAAATTGGAGGTGTGTAATTGCTGGCATTATTTCAGCAGTGGAGAAGTTGATGTTCCCTGCAGATCCATTGGCCTTTGTCTTGGGTTGTTACTATGTTTGCAACCATCATAGCTGCATTCAAGATAGGAAGAAGGGCTGAGGAGGGAGGAGCAGATGACTTTCTCCTTTTATTACCAAGTATAACTTTCCCAGAAATTTCCCTGGTGGAATTTACTTTAGGTATCATTGACCAGAAGTGATCATAAGGTCACCTGATTGAGAGAGATGCTTGGAAAATCAGGCATAGGAATGATAGCCACCAATGTTTTAAACCAGTGTATTAAAGTTTGGATATGAGATGTCTCCCAAAAAGTTCACATGGCAAAGCAGGAGTGTTCAGAGGTGAGGTGATTAGATTTTAAAAGCTATAACTTAATTGATAGATTAGTCCATTTGATGGATTAATAATTTGAATGTATTACTAGGTAGTAACTATGGGGGGTGTGGCTTCAGGAAGTAGGTCACTGGGGGGGGGGTCACCCTTGGGGATTATATTTTGTCCCTGGCTCCTTTCTTTCCCTCGCTGCTTCCTGCTGCCTTGAATTGAGCAACTTTCCTCCATCCATACCCTTCATCCATGATATTCTGCCTTACCTCAGGCCATAGCAGAGGAGTCAGCTGACAATGGACTGGACCTCTGAAACCATGAGCTGAAAACAAACTTTTCTTCCTCCAAGTTGTTCTTGTCAGGTATTTTGGTCACAGTTACAAAAAGCTAGTAGCAGTATTCTTCATAATCTCGTAAAGATGATTAGAATTACTTGGAGCCTTGTTAAATATATAGATTACCAGAACTCATCTCTGGAAACTGACTTGTTGGGTATGGGTTGGGAGATGGAGGCCCAGGGTATATCTTTTTATTTTCTCTTTTGTTTTTTAACAGTGAATCCAAGTGATCCTATTATCAGAGAAGTTTGGGGACATTGGATTAGGTTACTCATGATGTCCTGGGGTTGGGTTTCACTTAGAACAAAACTGTGTTTTCTTAAAAGACAATAGGAGGGATGAATATTGAATAGACAGAAAACAGTATCTGCCATGCCATCTAAATGTGTTCTAGACCAATAGAAATATCTGTCCTCTTGACAGGAGAGGTACCTGGAGTCCATCAGAACCTGATTCCATTCAGGATTCAAATTCTATTACCTTCTACTCTCTAACTCTGTGCTCCTGAGCAAACAATGATGAATTTGGCCTTGGAAGGGTTTGGTAAGAAAAATAAGCAGAGTTGCTTTTTTAATATTATAATATTTATATAATATAAAGTTTTAAATTAGACCATTTTTTCGTGTACAATTTAGTAACTTTTAGTATAGTCACAGTGTTGTTGGGCCATCATCACCACTATCTATTTATAGAACATTTTCATTATGCCAAAAAGAAATCCCTACCCATTAATAGTCACTCCTCATTTCCTGTGCCCCTAGACTCTGGCAACCACTAATCTACTTTCTGTCTCTGTGGATTTGCCTGTTGTGTGTATTTCATATAAAAGCTTTCTTTTTCAGTGTGAACAAATAATAAACACCATATTTATGAGTTTCAGCCTAGGGTGAGTTTAGCCATCCTGAGACACTGTGAATTTAGTCAGTTCTTACCAGAGGCTTGATGAAGTCACCGAACCTTGGAAAATGTGTTGGGCTGAAGCCCAGGTAAAGAGAACAAGGTTGTTCTGCTCTTGGAAGGTCCCTACAGTCTGCCATTTGGCCTGCCTGGACTTGACAGTGCCCTTCTCTCTCCCATTTTAGGTGGTAATGTTGATCTTCATAATGACTTGCTTTGTGCCGGGCAGTGTGATGAACATCATAGCATTTCATTTTCCATGTCCCTGTGAGGTGGAAAATATTTTCTTCATCTTTCTAAAGAGGGAAATTACATTCATGGTCCAGCAGAGAAGCCAGGATTTGAAGTTAGATTTGTGTTGTTTCATTTATGGATGCAGTGAGTTTTTATTGAGTATGTTCTGCATTTCAGACCCTGTGCTGGTCTCTGAGGATAAAGTGG